TATCTTTTGTAAATTAGCAACTTTTTTACATAGAACTTACATGTTCGTGTTAGGTTCCAATTTGATGATATCTTTATATCGTTTGAATCGATATGAGGAATTCATTATCAAGATTATTTTCTTTATATAACTCGTTAGCAATTATACGTTTTCATTCCATTAATCGTGAAGTTTTGCATCTGTGTTTCAGTTTTCTACTTCTTTTCATCTTCCGATTTGATCAGGTATGTATATCGTTTGAATCGGATAGATCGGAGTTATTTATATAACTCGTTAGCAATTATACGTTTTCATTCAATTAATCGTGAAGTTTCGCATCTATGTTTCAGTTTTCTACTTCGTTTTGAGTTTCCGATTTGATCAGGTATGTATATCGTTTGAATCGGATAGATCGGAGTTCATTATCAAGATTATTGCTTTTTATAATTTATTTGAATTACGCTTATTATATTCCTTTTGGAGTTGTTTCATCGGAGTTCATTATCAAGATTATCAAGTTTCGAATATGTATTGGAGTTATTTCATCGGATTTTTGTTAAGTAGTTTGAGAATATTTATTTCATCAGTTATATCGTTGTAGTTTTTACGTTATGTACTGAGAGAGATTGCTTAATTACATCATATGATCATATATGATTTAAGTTTCTTTCATATATTTTGTACGTTGAGGTGAGATATATTCGAAATTAACCAGGTTTTCATCTTTACGACTTTTTTTGTGAGATATATTCGATATATTCGATATTAAGATTGTTTTTGTTTATTTATATAGATCATTTGGTGTATTATGTCGAATTCTAGTGTTATTGATGGTGATTTGTATTCTTCTATGAGTGAGAGTGAAGAAGAAGATGTTGAGAACTCATTTTTTGAAGGTATCAGTTATTGAATTATTTTGTTGTTTTTAATTTTGTTGATTATCATTTATTTACATATGAATATGTTAATATGAATAAATTGTTGTCTTATTCATATATGAATAAACGTGTGATAATTGTAATTTCGAATTTATTATTTTTTTTCGTTTTATTCATATATGAATAAGTTATGTTTTATTTACATATGAATATGTTAAAATGAATAAATTGTTTTCTTATTCATATATGAATAAACGTGTATTAATTGTAATTTCGAATTTATTATTTTTTTCGTTTTATTCATATATGAATAAGTTATGTTTTATTTTATATATTTTGAATCCTCATGAATTTTATGTATTCATATATGAATGTTTTATTCATATATGAATGTTTTTGTTTTATTTATATGAGTTTTATGTATTCATATATATTATTGTTTTATTCATGCATTATTATTTTAGGTGGTGAATCTTCAAGTTCAGTACATGATGCACAATATTTTGATGATATAATTGGAGAACATGTCTATAAGCCAGATGTACCTGTTCAACTTATTCCTTTTAAGGGTTTAATCTTCAAATCATTAAAGTTGGCTATCAAAATGTATTCTGAGTATGCTGAAATTGGTGGTTTTGATGTTAGACTGAGCACACAGTCAAGGTTTGATAACAAGATTATAAAGAAGAAACATGTTATATGTAATCGTGTGGTAAACAGAAAAAGAAATCTTGTGACACATTAGGTACAAGTGGTGTTAGGAGGAAACGAAATTCAAATTCAAGAGCTATTGGTTGTCAAGCAAAGATTATATTTGAATCTGTGTATGGAACTCCAGATTATAAAGTTTTTCAGTTTGATGAACTTCACAACCATCCACTTGAGAAGAGAAGCGATTTAAAAAAGGCGAGACAAATGTCATATTCAGAAAAAGAGTTTATTGTGCGTGCTTCCACATCAAAAATAGGTCCAACTATGGCTCATAAGTTGAGGGCAAGTCTGAGAGGTGGGTATGAGTTTGTAAAGCCCAAAGTAGTTGACTATAAAAATTTAAGGAGAGATATCAACAGGGTTATTGGTTATAAAGATGCCCAAATGATAGTAAACACAATGAATGACCGTCGAGCTCACTATCCAAATTACTCATTTGAGTTTAATTGTCAAGATGATGTTTTGGACTGTATGTTTTGGGCTGATGAAATGGAGAAGGCATATTATGCTGAATTTGGTGATGTTATCTCGTTTGATGCGACTTTCCGAACAAACAAGTAAGTTATTTTCTACTTTTTTTATAGCTTATTCATATATGAATATTTTTATATTCACTTATTAATACATCAAAAATTGACTCTAATGAACATTTTTTTGTGTGTTAGGTATCGAATGGTTTTTGTTCCGTTTACTGCTATTGACCATCATAAAAAATTGGAACTGTTGGATCTGGGTTGCTAAGCAATGAAAGCATTGAGTCTTACTCTTGGTTGCTTAAAGCATTTCTTAAAACTCATGGGAAAGAACCAACACTTGTTTTAACTGATCAAGATGCTGCAATAAAACAAGTTGTTGAGAATGTGTTTCAATTCAAAGCACGATTATGTATGTGGCATATAATGAAAAGTTGAAAAAAAGGTATTATTTTAATATATTTGAAATATATTACTTATTAGTATATTCATTTATGAATATTGATTGTTATTTTACTTATTATTATTTATTCATTTATGAATATTTTTGTTTTAATACAGATATCAGATGATTTATTTACAAACATAGACTTTAGAAAAAGGTTTTCGAAGCTTGTTTGGGACATTAATATGAAACCTGATGTTTTTGAGGTGAAGTGGGGTTTGCTTATGAAGGAATTCAATCTTGAAGACACAAGATGGTTTAAAGACATGTTTACAATACGTGATTCATGGATACCTGGATATTTTAGTGATATTCCAATGTGTGGTTTGATGAAGACTACATCGAGGTCAGAGAGTATGAATTCATTCTTTAATACATATTCAGAAAGTGGGAACTTACTTTTGAATTTCATGATGAATTACGACACTGCCATTCAAAAGCAAAGGAATACTCAACGAGAGCTTGATAGGGCATCAAAGAAAGCATCATATAAAATGCAAACACCTCGAGAAATAGAACTGCAAGCATCAAAGGTTTATACAAGTACATTATTTTTTGAGGTGCAAAAAGAAATATATAAAGCATGTTTTTTCTGTACGTACTCATATGTTGGTATTGAAGATGGTTGGGAAGTTTACATTGTGCAGCACAACAACAGTAAAAGTGATTTTAAAAATGAATTTAAGGTAATTTTACTTGTTTTTTTATGAAAAATGTAATAATATTCATATATGAATATTATATGAATATATGAATATATATGAGTGTTGATATGAGTATTCTTATATGAATGTAAATGTGTAAATTTTGTTTTTGTATCAGGTTGAAATAAAAGCTGAAGAGAAAGAAATAAATTGCAGCTGTGAACATTTTAAGTGTATGGGTGTTTTATGCAGACATGCTTTTACAATAATGATGAGATGTGGTGTTAAAGAAATTCCTGAAAGGTACATTTTGAAGAGATGGAGAAAGGATGTGATATCAAGAAATTATCGTTTTAGTTCTGTTCAATCCGATTCAGGTGATTGTGAGAATATAAAGCTAGTCAATGATTCATATTATAGTTTTGAATCATGTTTGGATATTGTAAGAGATGAAAAAAAGAGATTGGCTTTGTTTGCAGAAACAACAAATGTTGTTGAAGGAATTTGAGAGTGATTATATTTCTCCTGGATTGAAAAGCAAGACAGATGGTGAAGTCGTATGCAAGCTTTTGGTGTTACTATTCCTATTCCAGAAGAGATTAATATTCATGTTCCTGAAGTTCAAAGCAATAAAGGTTCTGGAATCAAGAAAAGAATTCCAAGTGCAGGTGAAGTAGCATATGAAAATTCTAAAAAAGAACATAGAATGTGTTCAGGATGTGGAAAGCGAGTTCCACACAATTTACGTACTTGTCCAAAAAGAGTTGGAGCTGCTAAATCAGCAAAAGAAAGTTATGGATTTTTTTTAATTCATTTATGAATATATGCAGATAAAAACAATAAACAATAATATTCATGTATGAATAATACAAATTTATATTGATATGGTAAATTGATATGTTGATATTTGTTTTTTAAATTATTATAAAATAAGTTATATTGATATTGTAAATTATTTATAAATGAATATAAATATGTGAAATTTGTTATACTAATAAATAAGTAATATTCATATCTGAACTTTTTTATGTTAATATCTGAACTTTGTTATACTAACATATTACTTTGAACTTATTCATAAATGAATATATCATATTCGTATTCATTTATGAATAAATAAAAATAAAATTTGAAAATATTTGAATATAAAAAAATGACATAAATAAGCAAACTTGTTTCTACTAATAAGTTAGTTATATTCATATATGAAATTTGTTATATTCATATATGAACTTTGTTATACTGACATATTACTCCTAATTTAATCATAAATGAAGATATCATATTCGTATTCATTTATGAATAAACATAAATAAACTTTGAAAATATTTAAATATAAAAAACTGACAGAAATAAGCGAAGTTGTTTCTATTACATAATCATTCAACACAAGATAATAAAAGCTGTTCATAAGCATTTCACAAAATATTAAAACGATGTTCAACAATATTTAACAAACCATTTAAAACTTGTTTCGCATAATCATCTTACATGTACTTCGAATCCATTCATCTTCAACACAAACTGTTCTATAGCATCACACTTCAACATTCTTTCATCTTCACAAGCAATCATTAATATTCTTTTAACCTTTTTTGAATTGTTTGCATAGCCTTGTATGCATGATCAGTACGCACTTTGAATTCAACTTTTTGATATTTTTCAGCAAGATCCAACACCTTAGCCTTCAACATGTTAATTTCAGAAGTTAGCATTATGTATGCATATCTTTGCCTAAGCTTCTCTAAAATAGTTTGCTGAACTGCACTTTCTTTATGAAGACCTGGTTTCCACTTTGAGAGTGGTTTTCCCATATAGGTCTCCATATGTCTCATTGCAAAGACCCCACAATCAACTTTGTTTTTAACTGTTCTCCATGACATTTCAAGTCGTTGGGGTTTGATACTTTCTTTTGAGATTGCATTTGCTCTTGGATGGTTTATTTCTTCAAAATATCTCACAAACAAATTTTTCTGATCATTAAATAAAATAAAAGTTAAATATGTAATAAATTGGTTCTTTTATGTTGTTGTGAACTGGGTACATACCAAAGGTTTCATTATTACTCCGTATTTCCCTTCATAATCCCCCTCAACTGCACTATTGTCTAGAATTTCAATTGACGGTTTCTTTAAGTTGAAGACAATCACAAAAATGTGAGCACTTCTAACAACTGGAAAGAATACCTGTTTTTATGTATATAATGGTAAGTATTTTGTTGATAAAATATATATAAAAAAACAACTTTAATTAACATACCATGTCAATATCTTTTATGTTCAAGATTTTTTTGTACCCATTGGTACTGTCATGAAAGTTCTCCTTGAATTTTTCATACTTTCTTTCATCAGACAATGTTGAAGTTAGATAAGCAGTTTGTAACCAATATAATCATATGTGAATTTCGGTTGAATATATATAATTATGTTAAAGAATACATCATATTTGTATAATCATATGTGAATTTAAGTTGTGAAAAAATATAATATTCATAATGAATACATCATATTGGTGTATTCATTTATGAATAAGGAAGGAATTAAGGTTAGAACATAAACTTACAAAAACTCCAACTTTCAAGAAGAGTCTGTATGGTGAATTTCCAAAATCCCTTTCCAGTTCTTGGTGGTTAAGTAAATCAGACCAAGTGTCTAAAACTTCTCCAAAAATCTCTGTGTTTGCATATAGACTTTCCATAACTGGTCTTTCGGCTATCTGACCATATTTTGTTTGGACAGCCACATCTCTGCAAATATATAATCAAAATTTCATAAATTATTATTTATATAATAATCATATATGAATGTATATAAAATAAAGTTACTTACGGTGTATTGCCTTGTAAGTTGAACAACCATTCACAGACAATACTCTCCTGATGTGTCAGTTTGGGTTTTGTGTCTGTTATTCTGCATTTGAAAGGTGATTTGAAAGCATCAACAAGCTTCTTCTCTCTTGGTTGATCCAGATCATGCTTTGATGGTACTTCAGTAGGAATTGATACAGAGATTGGATTTGGATTAAGAACATTTTTCTTTGCTAATCTGATAACAACCTTCTGATGGTCGTCTTTGATTTGTTTCTTTGTAAGTGCTATTTTTGGTGAAGATTCATTAGATTTTTTACTTGAAGTTTGATCTGAATCTTGACTGAGACCTAGACTAAAGCTTGGATGAGTATATGCATGCCAGAAGATTTATCATATAAATAGTTGTAAGTTAATTATAATATTTGAGTTTATATTTTGAAATGTTTATCCAAATTGTTACCTCCTTTATTTCCTTTTGTCTTGTCAACTTTTTCTCCTTTCTTGTTTTGATTTTCTAACTTTTTCTTTCCTGAAAGATAAAGAAATGTGATTAAGTAATTCATATGTGAATAAGTAATGTATTCATTTATGAATAAGTAATACATATCATTATTTATGAATAAGTAATGCTATATTTTTTATTTATTCATATATTGTGTTATTCATTTATGAATAATAAAACTTACTATATTCATTTATTAGTGAATCAACTATTTACCTCTATCTTCTTCATTTCCTTTTTCAATTTCTGTTTGTTTTTCTTCACCTCCATCTTTCGTGTTCTTAGCTTCCGTTCCTCCTTCATTTCTATCTTCAGAGTTTTCCTTGCCTGAAACATATACATCATATATGAATATTTTTTATTTTTTATTCATTTATATAGTATATTATTCATTTATGAATAAACAATGTTATTAAAAAAATCAATATAAATATTGTAATATATTTTAAATCATTCATTTACCTGTATCATCTCCCTTTGTTTTTTCAACTTTTGTTCCTTATTCATGTACATCTTCTGATTTTTCCTTTTCTGCAAGAGTATTAGTTTTACCTGTACTCATTGGTGATCCTGGTCAAAATTTAACAAACAAAATTGTTATTGTGTATTGATATTTTTATATATTTTTTTAAAATAAAATTAAGACAAAATTTACCTATATCAATATTATCGAAAATAGCTTTCATTTCAGGGTGATTCCAGATTTCATCTTCTTGACTATTTAAGCTTGAAACTCCAATTCCAAGGACATTGTCCACAATGTTGTCAACAACTTTATCCAACAAATTTTGATTTTCAGTTTGTTGAATAGTCTCTTCATGATTATTTGTTTCCTCAGCACGATCATCTTTTTCTTCTTCATCATTCTGATTTTCATTCCTCTTTGCATCTTTCTCTTTTACTCTAATTTCACCTTCTTTTTTATTCTTATCTGCATCATTCTTTATTCCTTCATTATATGCTTCATTTGAATCAAGCAAATAATCTACTTCTGGTTGACTTGCACCATTATCACTGTCTTCTTCACCATTTCCCTCTTTATCTTCATTTTCTGTTTGATCATTTGTTTTTCGACCCATTATTGGTGTCAAATTGATTCCTTCAACTCCAATTTCATTAATTGGAAAATTAAAAAGTTTTGTGCTTTCAGTTTTTTCTTCAACAATCATATTTTTCATCTTTTCTTTGAAAATTCTAAAACTTTCCTTTTCAGGGAACTTTGTCATCGCATCATTAAGCTTTGAATTCAGCTTTTCCTTCATCCTCTCAAAACTATTAATCATTTTTGATATTTTTGATTCATATGCTTATGTAACAAAAAGAAGTATATGATTAGAATTTAATATAATAATTTAATGTAATAATATATTATTAACATGTTAAAACTAATTACCTCAACAGAATGATCTTCATCTTTATCAGAATCACTGTCTTCGAGATCTGTATCTCCTTCATTTTGTTCATTAACAAATTCTTCGTTTAGTTCTCCAACTCCAAATCTACCCTTTTCTTATTCAAATGTCTCTCGATATCTAATCCTCTCTGAACTCCAATAACAAATTGTTGGACGTTTACGTGTTACTGTTAAAGCTTCTGAGTGGATGTTATCAGCATAGAACAAATGCACGTAAATGATAACTAATTGATATTCATATATGAACAAGTAATATTATTTTTTACTTATTCATAAATGAATAAGTAATGTAAAGCATTACGTGTGAACAAATATATTTTTCTTATTCAGATATGAATATTTGCTATTAGATTATGAATAATCAATATTATTAAAAATTGAGTATAAATATTATAATAACTTACCACCAAGAAAGCTGAAGGTCTCAAAAAGAAGTTGTTATCTGAGTATGGTATGTATGGGTTTTTTGTTCTGACAAGACAATCCTAAACATAGTTGCACCAGTCTATGTTGCTGATATCTGTTTTTCTTGAAATATAACTCAAGGGAAACAGGTTGCATCTTCCCATTGATGTTGACTCGCAAAAAGTGTTGACAAAAAGAACTAAGAAGTTTAATTTGAAATTGAAATCAGTTTGTGTGGTAGAAACAATAACATTTTTGATTGCACTCAGTCGGATGATTGAATCTTTTTTAAATTGTTGCTTCCATTCATCATAACTTGTATCATCCTTAGGCCATTGATCCAGTAGTGTAAGTTTGGTTCCACCAATTGGTATGCCCAACATGTCATGAACAGACTCTGCTGTTACTTTCAATTCCTTTCCTTCATTATCTATCACCATTCTCTCAGAATTAATTTTTTGAAGAACATAAAATCCCAGCTTCAGTGGTATATCCGTGAAGTTCATTTTTAACAAAGCTCCAAAACCCATAGATCTTACAGATTCTTTTTGTTCTTTTCTCATCCCAAGGATTATAGATAGTAATGCCTCTGGTGAACATCTGTTTTTCATTGAGTAAATTTTTTTTTTTGCCTTCTTCGATGGATGACTACTTTCAAAATCAGAGTCTGAATCTTGTAGTTGTTGTTTTTCAGGAGTTTTCCTTTTTGATGGACTTTTCCTACTTTGATGCTTCATTTTCTTTGGTACTTTTGTTTCTTTTTTATCTGTGAAATGAAAACATATAATATTTGAATAAGTTACTGATATATGAATATGATATATGCTCGTTGATTTATTAATATTTATTTATTTCAAAAAAATAACTAATATATACAATTTTATTATATATGAATATATTAGATATGATAGGAATTTTGTACCTTTCGCATTTTTCCTCTTTTGCATTGATCTTGTTTCTCTCATTGTTGGTAAATCTTTATCGGAAATGTTAGTGTTCTTACATTCATTCAATAGTAAGTAGAAGATAAATGAGTTTGATATTTACGAATGAATATTCGAATAAAACATATGTATTCATATTTTTTTATTCACATATGAATATGTTTTGTTATATTCATATGTGAATAGAACATATGTAAGTGATTCTTGTTGTATTCACATTTGAATAATGTATGTATGACAACAAGCTATGTTCTATTCATATGTGAATATAACATACATATTCACGAATGAATATTCAAATAAAATATATGTATTCATGTTTTTTTATTCACGTATGAATATGTTTTGTTATATTCATATGTGAATAGAACATATGTAAGTGATTCTTGTTGTATTCACATTTGAATAATGTATGTATGGCATCAAGCTATGTTCTATTCATATGTGAATATAACATACATATTTACGAATGAATATTCGAATAAAACATATGTATTCATATTTTTTTATTCACGTATGAATATGTTTTGTTATATTCATATGTGAATAGAACATATGTAAGTGATTCTTGTTGTATTCACATTTGAATAATGTATGTATGGCAGCAAGCTATATTCTATTCATATGTGAATATAACATACATATTCACGAATGAATATTTGAATAAAACATATGTATTCATATTTTCTTTATTCACATATGAATGTGTTTTGTTATATTCATATGTGAATAGAACATATGTAAGTGATTCTTATTGTATTCACATTTGAATAATGTATGTATGACAGCAAGTTATGTTCTATGTGAATATAACATACATATTCATGAATGAATATTTGAATAAAACATATGTATTCATATTTTCTTTATTCACATATGAATATGTTTTGTTATATCCATATGTGAATAGAACATATGTAAGTGATTCTTGTTGTATTCACATTTGAATAATGTATGTATGGCAGCAAGCTATGTTCTATTCATATGTGAATATAACATACATATTCACGAATGAATATTCGAATAAAACATATGTATTCATATTTTTTTATTCACGTAAGAATATGTTTTGTTATATTCATATGTGAATAGAACATATGTAAGTGATTCTTGTTGTATTCACATTTGAATAATGTATGCATGGCAGCAAACTATGTTCTATTCATATGTGAATATAACATACATATTCACGAATGAATATTTGAATAAAATATATGTATTCATATTTTTTTATTCACGTATGAATATGTTTTGTTATATTCATATGTGAATAGAACATATGTAAGTGATTCTTGTTGTATTCACATTTGAATAATGTATGTATGGCAGCAAGCTATGTTCTATTTATATGTGAATATAACATACATATTCACGAATGAATATTTGAATAAAACATATGTATTCATATTCTTTTATTCACATATGAATATGTTTTGTTATATTCATATGTGAATAGAACATATGTAAGTAATTCTTGTTGTATTCACATATTAATAATGTATGTATGGCAGCAAGTTATGTTCTATGTGAATATAAGATATATATTCATGAATGAATATTTGAATAAAACATATGTATTCATATTTTCTTTATTCACATATGAATATGTTTTGTTATATTCATATGTGAATAGAACATACGTAAGTAGTTCTTGTTGAATACACATATTAATAATGTATGTATGGCAGCAAGCTATACATATTCACAAATGAATATTAGTTTTGCTTGTGTTCAGAAGTAAACAAAACATATTTTATTTACCTTTTTGATTTGTTCTTGGTTTTCGTTTATATGTATTCTTCACTGTTGGTGTCGTTTCTGTAAGGGTAAGTAGTTAATATTAGGAAAACATAAGCAAAATGTTAAGTAACGTTTGTATTTTGATAGAATAGTTTTCAATAAAGATGAAAATGAAGAGATGATGTAAAATCATTTATATATCAAATAATAATGGATGATTCTTACAAAAATTTCAAGTAAATAAAGTAATAACGAAGGAGGGTTACGAGAATGAACGAATATAATAAATTTCAAGTAAAATTGAAGTAAACAACCTTTTTTGAAGAATGAACAGTGTGAGAACAATGTTTTTAGTTCTAAATCAACTAACAATTTTCGAACATTACGAGAAATTTCAAGTAATCAAGTGATAATTTTAGAAATGATTCGAAATCGTTAAAAACTCGAGAAAAAACGTCGATGGTTACCTTTCATTGTCAAGAGTGAGGAAATGGTCTCGTTCATGTTTTCATCGGAAGACATTTTTCTTCGTTTATGTTATTTGGTGTTTCTACAAATGTGTTTCTTCTTGTCGATTGTTCTTTAGATGGTTTTCGAGTTATGGTGTATCGAAGAGGGAAATTGTGCTTTTCTGTCGAGATTTGACGTGATATCAAATTACTCAAGTGCCCTGATGGTTTAATGTTTTTTGATTATTTACAAATTTGCCACCGCTCATTAATGTATTTGGATTATTTACAAGTTTTCCACCATGCGTTTTTTAAGCTCATTAAATGATTGGCTGAGAATGGTTCCCCCATTCTCAACCTTTTTTTTTCTCAATTGACCCCTCTCTCTCTCTCTCTATATATAAATATATATATATATATATATATATATATATATATATATATATATGGCATCTATATGCCAGAACCGTACCTCACAAACCATTATTTGGCATGTATATATATATATATATATATATATATATATATATATATATATATATGTTCAGGTGTTTAAAGTAAGTATTGTGTTATTGTATGTATGATTAAGAACCAATCAAAATTTAATAGAAAAAACAATAATTAAATAAATCAATAAGGGTAACTAGGTAATTTGAGAAATAACTTCCACAAATACTCCCTATAATTTGACTAGTTACTTTTGATTTTAACCTAATCCCCCTTTTATATACGACGGATCTGATCAATTGTTGTCGAATCAATTTTAAGCTAATCCCTCTTTAAGTCATCTACTTACATCGCCTCAAACGATTGCAATTGGTCATCATCTTCCCGGTGGTTCAAAGATTGTTGTTGACGCCAAGCCTATTGTTGCAGTGGTGGTTTTTGTAATGATTTTCAAAAATCTGGTGACGGGGATGGGATTTTTGGTTTCGGGGTGACGATAATAGGAGTAGTTCTTTACAGCGAGGCAAGGTTGAAGAACGAGGGGGGGGGGGGAAGCATCGAGGCTTTAGTGGTGGTTTTTCTACGGTTGATATGAGGTGAGTGGATCAGATAGTGGTTCAGTGATGGAGAAGACTAGAGATGGTGGTAATGGTTGGAGGTTGCTGCTATGATCGCTAACATGTAAGTGTTCCTCTATCTAAAATGTAGATGGTTACTCTGTCGGCCAACCATAGCACCTCTATCTCTTCAATTTGACATCAGCCCAACTTCGTCCTCCTTCTTCTTCACCGCCGACCACTTCTGCCTCCTTCATATCACCATAGTTTGGGTTTTTTCTGGTGATTCTGGATTTTTTAGAGTTGCTAGGAATCTGGAAACTGATTTCCTTTATTGAATGTTTGTTGATTTCGGGTTTTAGTTGACTGGAGATTGAGGGAAGGTCAGTTCTTTGCACAGAATCTCGATGTGTTTAAAATTAGTTTTCTTTTTCTTGAGTTTGGTAATTGTCATGTGATCTCATGTTTTACTTCTGATGATTGTCATATGATCTCATCATATAACATAGCAACTTTTAAACATGCAAGTTTTAAGCCATTTGGTTGTTTGGTGATCAAAGGAGCTTATTAGATTGCTCTGTGTTGTTTTTCTATTACAGACAGGTAGTGGCCACTTTTCGCCTATTGGTGGTTATCATGATGGAAGAGACACGTCATTTGTTTTAGATGTTGCTCGCTTTAAGTATCCTCCTCATTGGGTCCCACTAAAAACACATTCTGTTCAAGTGATGTGTTTATGCCGAAGCCCGATGGTCTTGGAGAAGATGATGGTTGGGTGATCTCGTTTGTACATGATGAACATTTGAATATATCTCGGGTAAGTTTATATCAATCTCTTATTACATGTATAGATATTATTATAAAGCAAATTGGACTAATGTTTCTTGGATATCAATGGGACACAAATTGGCTTAATTTCACAGGTTATCCTAGTAGATGCACAAAAGTTTACCAATGAGCTAGTTGCAATTATTACCTTGCAATATCGAGTGCCTTATGGTTTTCATGGAGCTTTCATGCCAATAATCTCCTATATATAGACCATCAATTCGATTAGAATGGAATCATGAATTCTAATTCTATTGGAATGGAATGACGAATTCCAATTCTGTTGGAATCACAGAAGTTGATGGTTGAAGAACGGACTACAAAATCGAAACAGACCACATTATTCTTTTAGAATGTATTAGTCGTTGTTAGATTTTGATGTTTTCTTTTCCGTTTTGAAAGTTTTTTTTTAGTTTTATTCTTTAACAATAAATGTAATTCTTAACAATTGTTACCCGTATTCTATAAGAAATAATGTATTTTTGTTTTTATTCTTAAATTGTTTGTTCAATAATTTGTTATTCTACAAGAAGTTTTTAAAGTCATGATCAAGAAATAGGTTCAAGAATATATTTATTATTTATGGTTCAAGAATATATTTTTTAATATACCCATAAACATATTCTGTCAGAATGTCCGAATTAAAAGAATTATAATTCGTAAAATCGGATTTTTAAAATTAATAGAATCTATGATCCCTTAAAAAAATGCAATTTCCCTTGATTAAATCTAATATTAATCTACTAAAATACCATTTTAATTAATTAAAATG